GCTTGATTTTTAATTCTAGAAATTTCTTAGTTTTTGAGATTCACACAAACAATTTCGTGCTGAAAATTTGAATTTCAAGATAAAGTAACCTGAACGACTCGAAACATGTTTCTTATAGGTTTTGAACAATGCTCTTTCCAGTGGCATTGTTTTTAAATATTGAGAAAGTTTTCTGAAGGGCTTTTCAGAGACCGGATCTCTGGAAAGCTCCTTAGAAAACCTTTTCAAAACCCAACTCTCATGCCATTAGAAAGAGGATCATGAAAAACCTATAAAAAAATGGTTCATGAAATTTTAGTTCACTCATAAAGCTAAAGTCCGCCTGCTCTAGCAGAAAATGCCCACTGTGCTCTCTCCGATGGGCACGGATTTTTGAAAACTTTTTGTGTAACAAATAAATTAAAACTATGAATTCTTTGTGAATGAGCATAGGTAGTGAAAGGCATGTCAATGAAAGAACATGATATACGGACGAGAAAATTTCCGTTGAGGTATACAAGAGAATTAATAGAAGTGAAGAAAATATGTGGTTAAAACATGATTTTTTGCCACACTATAAGTTTTTTATCCATGGGCACGGATAGAGAAGGCGCGCGGAAAAAGATTCACAGACAGACACGAACACATATTCCAGAAAGATCTGCGAGCATGGACAGGTACGGGCAGAAAAATCTTGCCCTTGCAGATCTCTAGTTCCAACGCCTTTTTCAGATCAAAATCGTCTTGAGAATGAGAATCTGAACGCGCTTTTTTATCTCAATGGAAGAAAATTGCGCTCAGACACATATTTATTACCAATGGAACAAAAGGTTCGTGTGGATTCTGCTCAGTTTTATGACACGTTCAAACGCGCTTACAAGAACAGATTAAAAGACCATACTCAGACGTGCCTAATTCTAGAAGACTCTGGAAATTCATAGTCTAGAAAAAGTAGACTCTGGATGGCCCTTGATAATTGCCCGATCTCTACTGTAAATACTTAATGCGAAAGAATCTCTCGATTAGCTACGAATTCAAACGAGTGGTGAATATAACAAAGCGCTTATGTGCATTCAAAAAAATTTTTCATTTTAAAAACATATCTAAACACATGCCTCATGATCGACGTAGCGATCTCGTATTTGAAAGAATAACCAATAGTTTTAAAACTTGAGTGGTTTCAACGTACCAAACATTAGAAAGTTGGAAACATCTCGACTGTGAGATGTAAGTCTAGACGCGCCTCCGCGTTTCCAGAGAAATTTGCTTCTTAGAGTGTTTACAGTTGAAATATTTTGTTCAAATTGACCCAATAGTTCCAGGATGTGTGAGGATGTGTTTGCTTTCTAAAAAAAAGCGTTTGTTCGTTCAAAAGCGAAAAATGTCTTTGAACGAATTTTCTTCTATTCGAAATAAACAATTTATGTCTAGGCACATCTCATCCGGGATGCACCTGGATAAGTTGTTTATATTGAGATGAAATTAGACGCATCTGAACGTTCGTCTCTGTCACAACATTTTTCACCGGGATATCATTGACTGAAAGATGCTTTTTTCAAAGTATAAGATGCAGCTGGATAATATATTGTTAAAAGACAGCTTTACATGAAATTAATTCGTTTTTGTCTAATTTAGTCTTCAAAATGATCGTAGTCTACCAATGAGTTTAGAATTTATTCGTATTCGAAGTTACGTGAATGATACATCAACATTTGAGAAATCTGACAAATTGGAAATAAGTGGTTTGAGTGATTTAACACAATTAAAACAGAAACATTTGCTTATCATAGAAGATATCATTGATACTGGTATGTAATCATATATATCAACTTCAAATCCGATTAGATAAAAGTTTTCTAATCAGGAGCGACGATGATCTCATTGAAAAGAGAACTAGAACAGTATCATCCAAAAAGTATTCGCATTGTATCATTATTTACGAAAAGACGACCAGATAAAAAATGTTTACTTAAACCTGATTATGTTGGATTTGAAGTGCCTGATCATTTTATTGTTGGTTATGCACTAGATTATAATGAATATTTTCGCGATCTCGAACATATCTGTATTATGAAAGAATCAGGGATTGAAAAATATAGAATAATTGAAGAATAGTCAGGTATCAGGTAAGTAAGTTTTAATTGAATGATTTCTATGAATGATTGCCGTTTGTTTTTTAGATTATAAGAATTAGTGTTCGACAAGCCACTGATGCATTCCTCTGATGACCATCTGGTTTTGTTTTTTTGCATGTCGACCAAACAATGCATTTACAGCTTATTACAATTTTTTTTTTGTGTGTGTGTGTGTGTGTGTGTGTGTGTGTGTGTGTGTAAATGTATCCTATTTGCATTTAAAAGACACGTTAATAATCTCAATAACATAACAAAAGAACATAATTACAATTCAGTATAATCCTATTTTTTATTTGTCCATTTAGAATTTATATGTTTTCAAACTTCACCATTACTTTTGTGCAGGAAATAAACAGATATGAAAAGAAATTATAACATGATTAACAATTACATGTTCAGTATATATATATACCAGATTTGCCTTATTTAGCCTATTAAATTAGTTTGAGACGTTATTAATTTAAGCAGTCTTATTGATTCTAACATGCGGGAATTTGCAAAAACTAATTTTAGCGATATACTATTCGAGGATTGTAATTCTGAACCTTTTTGTTGTTTTAATCATTCATAAAACAAAAAGTTAATAAACTGAAAATACACTAAATTAATATTGCACGCGAAAACGAGTATGTTAAAATCAAACTTATACATGGATTTTGATCTGTTCGAGTTAAAGTAATCCTAGAGAACAATGCCATTAAAAGGTTCAATTACTAGCAAATACGTTCATTATCTCTCATTGATTGAAAAGTCCTAAAATGATCGAAGCAGTCTATAAGAATTAAAAGACAAATGTTTCTGACATATTTTTCGAAATTTTTTTGATTTCAAATGTCTTAATTGGTCTTCCTTTTATGCAAAATTGCGACAATTCAATTTCACCATATAATACGGTTAGACATGCTTTATTTCTAAGTATTGTACACGATCCCCATGCGTACCCATTAGACCAAAAATAATAACCAATCTTATCGGCAAATGTCATAGACTTTTCCACACCAGAATAAGAGAATCCACTCCAAGCAAGTACAGCTGCCCAACTTGTCATCGATCGAGCATAATGATGCCCACATTCGGGCTCTTCAAAAGGCGTTCGTTTACGACCATCAAATCGATTACGTATACTTTGAATACATTTTAGGCCATTTTCAATTTGTCCTTCGTAGATCATTCCCGTTGCTGCTGTATATTCAAAACCAGTCATTGACTCACTAAAATATGGGAATGGTACTTTTAATCTTCCTTTTGGCCATGAAGCCATTAAAAGCCCAGATTCATTACCCAACACAAACGATCTCATATTATTAAAATGGTTTTGAAAATTATCGAGATAATTATATTTCATTATACTTTGCAATGTTTTTTGAATATTATGAGTATCAGCCAAATAGCCCAGTCCACAAATATGTGAAAACATTTGTCCAACTAATTGATCTACTAAACATCCATTTCCCAACTGATAATCAGGCACATTAGGATCGTCTATTTTTAAATATTTTCCGCTTTTTGGATCAATAATTTTTTGTTCGTAATATTCACCGTTAAACAAACTATCATCCATATATTTACTACCTTGTTCATACAAATTATTACATTTATTGGCAAAGTCTTTATCCTTTACAAATGTAGCCATTAAAGTAGCAGCTTTCAAAGCTCCTAGATACCAAAAGTTACATTGTGGATTCGGTCCGAAATAATTCACATCCATTGTATTTGGCTGAGAACCTTCCATTACACCTTAAATAATGAGATACATTCGTAAACATTATATCATCAGTGGTGCTTTTAATATAACGTACCATCTTGATCAGCATCCCATGAACCCGGAAGCCAAGCGAAACTCAACACTTTTTTCAGTTGTTGCCAATTTTGTTGTAAAAAGTCATTATCACCTGATAACTGCCAATCGCGATACATTTTCATCACACAACCCATTTGACCGTCCTAGAAGGTGAAGTTATAATTGTCGCTATTTTTATCCCACTTCATTTCTAAGAGGTCAAACATGATGTGATGGTTTTTAACACGTTCACTGTCCATGTATCATATATGATTCATTTAATTGTTGTTTAATTATTGTTGGACAGTGAACGTGTTAAGAATACTTCATTTGGATCTAAAATAGCTAAATAATCAAACTTACTGTTGCTGGACCCGACCAAGTTTGTGGTGCTGTTAATGGTAATGATACTCGAAATTTCATTTCACCATTTGGCATTGTTGCGTAGTTTAATTCAACATCCCGCATACTTCGAGCAAGATCTCCGAAAAGAAAAGCTGTCGCTTGCTCATAATTCCAGACGTGTGTACAACTTCCGAAACAAGATCCAACTACATCGAAAGTACCTTCCCAGCCCATCATATGTCCGTCTGGTAAACGAAAAACTGTTTGCGAACGTAATGTGGTTAAATTAAACAGTGCTGCTTCTTTTATTACTCCAGGATAATCACTAGCCAGAAAAGTATTGACAAATTGAAGAGTTAATTCTTCTAATTCGGATAAAAGTGGATGAGTTTTTAAAACTACGTCCCATGCATCGCTATATTGAGTTGAATAATAATTGCCAACAATCGTTGCACACCAAGCATAACGATTCGGAAAATTCCATGTAATATAAAACGGAAAACACACCGTTTGACCAGCAGAAATTGTTTGTTTAATAGCCAAACTCGCCATGGGATCATCATCAATCAGTTTATCTTTTTCATGCAAAATTCCACCAGCACTGAAGTCATCCCAAAAATCAAGAACAGCGTGATTCCAATCATTTGAACTCGATGATGTCCGATAACTAACAGTGCCAGTCGTACAATTTGTTGAAAGAGCCATTGTCCCCCATGCTGCATCATTTTTATCAACATTATCAGAATACATATAAATTCCTTGTAATTCATCTTGTTGTTTGAAAACGTTTGTATTACTTTTTGATCCGTATGGATAAATATCACCATCACCACCAGTATTGTATTTTGACCCATCATTTCCAACAAAATTTCTCATTGTACCACACACAGCCACATCCAACAATTTATCACTAGTATTTGTTACTTCATAGTAGAGAACAGCAATTGGTATGCCAGATAAATCATCATTTCCTGGAATCAAAGGATTATATCCTTTAATTTTTACTAATATCGGCATATTATCGTCAGAGAGATTAACTTGACCAAATGGATAGGCGGCATCGAACGACGCGTTACCGAACCGAGGTAATCCATGATGATTAACAGGTCTGCCAGCCATGTGCATGTGTTCTACTTCATCAATAGGTCCAATTAAAGCTTTTGTTATCGACTGACCGTCTTGAGGTTGAACAAAAATGGCAAAAAATGGTGCATCATTTCCTGTTGTAACTGTACTGAATTTTTTTGCTGGTTTATTCATTATTTCCCAGTCTCGCAGTTCACCGCGACCACCCAACGATACACATCCTGTTCCAATCCCACCTAACGGTAAAGCAATATTAAATAAGTGATCTTTATCATAATGTTTCAATATTGGCCATTCCTGATTTTCGGTACGAGCCATTCTGCAAATATAAATATTTTATGTTTATTTTAGAATTACAGCATTCTATTTCATCGAAATGAATACCTTCCACTTCGTAGTTAGAAACGACGTTTATCTTTAAGAAAGATTGAAAACAGAATTACTCAGGTTATTCTTTGGTTGTTTTTACTAGAACACCTTTTCATTAGACAAGTCAGTTTAAAGCTATTTTTTGTGAAGAAGGTATATAGGGTAACTTTAGAAAACTAGACCATATAGCAAAAAATTAAAATACAATAAAATACTTTGACTTTTACGAAATGATAGTTAAGCAAACGTTTGATTTTTCACCGTTTAGATGTGGCATCAGATTTTTCTAGGAAAGATAGGATTTGTAGGTGATTGACCATGTTCAGTCTCGTGACAATGTTTGTTTTTGCAAAAAAGTAAGAAAGGCTAGTAGAAAGGCTGAATGAACAACAATTTCAAGCTATTTTTACCGAATATTGAAGAATTAATAAGCAGCTCAAAATCAGTTCAAATGACTGTACAGTATAGTTTTAACTTGACTTCTTTGATGAAAAGATGAGCTAAAGTTTCCACTATCGAACGGGCAAAAACTGCAGTTGTCTCTCTGTGTTCTGTCAAAAGCTATTAAGGGCCAATAGAGCTGGATTTTTGATATTTTACTTTTCAAATTAATGGTCAGCGTCAAAAGTTCAAAATTCGCATTAACTTGCATAAAGATATTTTTCTAACCACAAATCTAAGCCGAATATCAAAAATCGGGCTCTGTTAGCCTCTAGCCACATGTGTCAGCTTCAATCTAAGACCTTCCTGAGCTCTCTGCGATGTTTCATTACCGAGAAATCTTACAGCTACGAAATGTTGTTAAGGTAAAAGTCGCTTTCGAGATATGGTACCGCTTGTATTTGATGCAAGTTTTAGGGCTTCCCGCAAAAGTCTCATAACTCTTGATCAGAACATCATTCAGAGCTGGAAGATATCTCATTTTGATCAGAAATGTTTGCTCTATTTCCTTATGTTATTGAAAGTATTTTTGGATTTGGATTTTTACCAGGAAGTAAAATTTTTTCGAAGAGTCAGCTTTTGAAGGTTTTCAGAAAACTTTTCTGAAAACCTCGATACTCCTTCGATGAGGACCAAATAACATTGGATCCTGATAGTAGATACTGGGGCTATCTGATGATGTGCTTAGCTCAATATCGACTTTTTATGAAAAAATTTATAGTTCTGACGAGGGGCAGTTTAACAGAACAACCTAGATCATTCGTTTTAAACAGATATTAAAAAATATCTGTTGATTTAAAAAATATCCTTCTACCTTTCTTTGTAGATTTTATTAGAACTGTACTTGTTGAGAAGAAGAAAATCTTACCTAGCAGCTATGGTATGCCGTGTTTAAGTTCTAATGAAAGATTAAAAAAATATGATGGTGATGATATTGTTCAAGTTTTTTCATACTTTTTTCTCTATATATGTCAATTCACGTATCAACCATACAAAAACAACATAAAAACCTATATTTGCATATGAGAAGGCTTTTTCATTTTTTTTAGCGTTTGAAAAAAATATTCTCCGTTCTGTTTTCAACTTGAGACATCTCTACATGGGAGGTAAAAACAGACTATTCATCGTAAACAATGAGAATTTAAAAGCAAAACTAACGTGATAATGACGTATAACGGAAGACTACTTCTTTAAGAAGTTGTATATAGCGAATGAACTCTTTCTAGATGCTTGTTTTTAGAACTAAGTAATTCAAGATTAAAACAATTTATTTTACGTGTGATCAAAAAGAAACAACAAGTTATATAACAAAACCAGACGTAACAATATCAGTTTAACACCAGAAAGAACATCAAAAATATTCGTTAAATACATTTGATAATCGCAAGACAATAATGATTCGACGTTAAAATATGTAATGCCTCTGTCTTAATGATGTTCTATCATAGATTTATCGTAAAGTTTGTATAAAGTCTAATTTTTTTTTCAGTAAATTATATGAGGTATTAAAGCGTCTAAATTATATAAACAGGTTGCATTGCATTGCTTAATACCATTTGTGATTTATTAATCTCAGATCATTTAAATGTTCTAATATATACAAATCACGATGATTTTGTAGCACTGGACATACTATGACCAATAGTACATTTTGTTTCATGTCCTTTAAAAAAGAACACCGCATCGTTTAACATATTCATCTTGAGTTACAATTGTAAGTCATTAACAATATTTGATAATTTGTCGAACATAAAACTGATACTGGTACTCAACAGTGCGGAATGATATTTTTTTAGCACGGGTACGTACTGGCGTCACATTTTGTTTGGCCATTGTCTGCCTATATAATTATCATATATAATTATAGTATATTTGTCCTATTTCGAAGGGTTTTATAATGTGACGTGATACTTGAGCAATTATATTACTTTAAAAGTGAAATGGATAAACGATTGACTTGAAACACCAAGACGAAATAACACTAAAACTTAACTATGGACGACTACAAGTAACAGAAATACAGCCAAAATGTTATTGGAATTTAGTCGTACTTTGTTCAGTTCATCACTTGCACAACAACCAAGAAAAGGCAAAAAAATGATGCTCTAAGAATGGCTGATAACTTTCATTTAGTAAACTGGAAGATTACACAAAGATTTTTAAAACATTATTTTATTTTAATTTGACACCATTAACACGCAGATAGATAAAAAAAAAGAACCACACAAACTACTATTGACTTTTTTTTTGTATCACAAATAAAACATAACAAAATAGAAACAGCGTTTATCTGACTTTTTTCCTGTTATAACAGTTATACATCCATATCTAATATTTTTTCAGATCATTGTCAACTTGATCAACAAACGTTTTTAATTTTTGCCATTGTTCTAATGATAATGAAATGCCTAAATATCAAAAAAAGTAATAATCATCATTGTAAGAGATAAAGAGTAAAATTTTGAATACCTTTTTTGCCTGGTTTTTCAACGCCTTTATCATCATAATATTCACGAATATTCACATACGGCTTATTTTTAAATTCACTGACACTGATATACCGCATTCTTCCAACCTTCAACACAAATCATACATTTTTAGATTACGCAAGAGTTAAGAAAAACATACCTCGTAGCGTTTTTCACCATTGGGACCAGTAGTTGATGCAGCGGCTACTGATGCTTTCGTACCACTTACTTCGGTTTTTGCGCGTTTTGCCGGTGGCTAATAGAAGAGAAATAAAATAACATTACGATCACTTCTGTACCTGTGCTACAACAACTTACATCCTCCTTGGCAGCTGATTTACTCGTTTTTGCTTTTTTTGTTGATGTTCGTTGTTCTTCAGCATCAGATTCATCATTTTTCTCATCACTGGATGATTCAACAAATTCTTTTGATTTAGACATATTTCAGATAAACTTTATGTTTTGAATGTAAAAGGAAAATCTGAAATATTAGAAACAAAACTGGGGATAAAATAACAACTCATGATCATGATGATGGTCACAAAATCAATAAAGAATGTTTTCATTGATATAAATGACATTCTCGAATAACAGTGAATAAATTAATAAAAAATAAAATCAATAAAACAAAGTATGTATTCTCAACTATGTTGAGAAAAAGTTACAGAGAGGCAGTCTCAGACCAAGTGTACAGAACAAATTTATCCAGAGTAAACAAAGTCGAACACTGAAGAGTTTATAACTAAAATCGAAAGTGAAAAGTTGGCAAAATTTTGTAAGCTGATACAGTTATAACCTCCGATCGTAGTTGATCGATTTCATAGGTCATAAAAGCGATTGAAACAGATAGAACACGAAGTTGATAAAGTTATATAACCAATACTACTTAAGATAAAATAAGGAAATCTCATTTTCATTTGTATGTTGAGGCATTCACGAAGAAGTTTTCCACTGTGAAATCATTCATTCTTTTCTTTCATTGATGTGTCAAATCAAAGAATACATATAGAAATATTCTTCACGAACAAAAATACAAGTTTATTCAGAGATAAGTGCGTTTACAAGTTCTGCGACATCATAATCATTACCCTGAACATTTGAGCTACCTACGTGTTCAGGCTCATTCTCCTACTATCTAGCAAACCAAGATCAACAAAGATGCAGTCAACCTACTATCATCATAGTTCAGTAACGTAGCTAAATTCAGATCTCTATCATCAATACTGTCTTCACCGATCGCTGGAGAGCCTATTAGTTCACATAGTATTTGATGTGTCTCATTGATATGCGTATGGAACGAAATCACGTTGTCAGTTCCACTGTGATTTCGATACAGGGACCAAATCATCCTGCAGAGCAGCATCTTCGATTTTTTTCGAGGTCTAGGACAGAATTATGGACATTTGAATGATATGCGTGAAGTTTTGAGACTGCTTCAAGACTGGATGAGCTTAAATGATTACGGCGTTTTGAAAGCTACCAGTCGAGAACGGAAAATAGTTGTACATACGTATGTCTATGTGAGCATGGTTATCTGTCAGACTTGACCACTTCGTACAAAACAGACGTTTTATAAGTTACAGAAAGAGAAAAAATAGTTATAACTGGGGTTAAATCCATCAACCATTTAATTGTTTTGACCGAAAGTTAAAAGTAGTTATAAATTCATTATTGGAGCAAACACAATGCCAAAAGCGCAGACGATGAGGTAGCGAAGTGTTGTTCCAACAGTTTTGTGATCCGTACAAAGTTTACAATGTGAAGGAGAAGCTTAAAACTATGTAAAAATTTGAAAACACAAATATTTATTCCTGAGCAGAATTTAGTTTTCGTTTAAACTTGACAACAATTAAACTTTCTATAAGTGTTCGTCGTTTAAGTACAATCTCCATAGTTAAATTAAATTTTTTAGCTATTAACGTCAGTGTTTCAACCGAATTTAATTCTAACGCGATCATATAAAATAATCCATTTTCTGTTAATAATATGGATGCTTGTTCAATAGCTCTCTGAATAACTTCGATGCCTTGCTTACCACCTGAATATGCTGCATCAATTAAATTATCTCCACTATTGACTACTTCGTCAGTTGGAACATATGGCGGATTGAACAAAATTAAATCAACACCGTTTGCCAAACGCTGAAGAAATGGCGTTGCTAAATCACAATTAGTTATTTGAAATTGTTGAATAACATTATTTTGTTGATAAGTTTTCTGAGTAGATGAGCAAGCGTGTGGATTAATATCCGTTAAATAAAATAAAGAGCAATGAGATGAAAGAATATGTTTTGACAAAAATGTGCTTATAATCCCGCTACCACAACCAAATTCAACAATAATCAATGGATCTAATGAACGAATGATATTTAGTTCACATTCTAATGCATCTAAGAATAAAAATGAATCGGAATCAGGTTCATAGATTTTAGAATAATCACTCCGTTTCAAATGAGAAAGATCTGGAGTTGGAAACATACAGATAGAAAGAGTTATCTAAAATGATAGAAGAGTAAATATCATTAGTTTAAGTAGAAATTGTCACTCTTAACAATGCCGTATCTAACAACATTTACTGTTAACATGTTCATATCCGTTGTGAATAAAGCTAAAAACAGCTGGAAGCATTATTCGACGTGAAGGTTACCTTACATTGTAGTTGAATACAAACACCTAAAAAGAACAATTAAATAATCGCAAGAAAAGAGCTGTATCAATAAAGTTGATTTTAAGCTTTGTAGCTTTTCTTCTCGAGCATGTTACATACCTCACTTCCTTTCAGAATTAGTAGAAAATTAATCAGAATTCGTTGGCACTTTTCCCTTCTGTTGTTTCCAATAATAAGGATAAACATGAATTATTAATCTAAACCCTTTCATACCAAATTGTATCGGGAAAACGAAAAAAATCGTGAATCTCCTAGCAGAAATCACTTTTAAAGCATGACTAATGTTCAAGATTTTATCTTAGATGTGATCCTTTACCTTTTGCTTATTGTCTAAGCATCTCTCCTAAAAAAAGGTTTGTAAAAACTTTCTTGACACTTTCTTACTAAAAACCGAAAACTGTACTCAATAGTTTACTTCACCACTGTTTTAACATCAAGACCAAAGTAAATAACTCATAACATACAAAAGAATTACTAGAAAAATATGTTGTCTTTCTAAAACATAAAATCTTGAAGAAAAGTGTTATTTTCTTGACATATAAGGTTGTAACAAAGTTTTATATAAATAATCCATTTTGTACAACAAAAACAAAAATTTCATGTATTTGTATCCATAATATGATCAACATTTAATGATACAATCAGTTTATGTTTGATATCCCCTAGACAAACAAGTTTATTCATATCGTTATTACTATTGTTCGTGTTGATTGACGTTGCTTCATTTCCATTCATCATTTCTGTTACCATTACATTTTGTAAAAATGATGTTGGTTGTCCGAGATCAACATCTAATACAGTATTATTGCTCAACTTTAATTGACATTTTCCAGATTTAAATATTTGTAATTTTCCTAAATATCCGTCTGGCAATTCGTTTAATGATGCCAGTTCTGGTTTATCTGAAGACGATTGTATAGTGGTAGTGGTTTTTGTACACGGCAAAACATCAGGAAATTGCATTAAAATTAATTGGGATATATCTGCTGCTGTTGGTAATGGTGAAGGTTTCATCGTTGTTGTAGTTGGATCGACAGGTTCAGATTTAACAAAAGATGATGAAGTTTTTGATAGCTTTTGATTTTCGATTAAATGAAGAATAGAATCAATAGGTTCAGACTTTGTAGTTTGCTGCTGTTGTGTTTCTATTTCTTGTTTAATATTAAATATTGACTTTCTTTGACGAATCGGAATTTGTCTCGGTTCATACTCTTCCTCAATTTCATATTTAAACTCATCATCATATTCATCAATTTTTTTTGTTATCGTCTTTTTTGAATTTAATAACACTGAACTAACTTTAACTGAAGTACTATCACGTTCTGTTGCTGATATTTTCGCAGCCGAACGGTCCGCAGAACTGAAAGATGGTGGTACTTGAGAATTTCCGTCAAATACTCCCTCTAGTTGAATATAACCAGCTGATCGATCATTTCGTCGTGGTTCGGGTCCTTTGTTATCCCTTTTTTTTGGTTGACTATTATCTACAGCATAATTAGTCGCTAATGTTGATGCAGTATCATCTTGTTTTTTTCGTTGTGAAGCAGCAGCTACATTTGGAACAAATTTACGCGTGTTCGGTTGCTGATTACAAGTGAATTTTGAACTCAATTCTTTCATTAAACGACGATTAGCGTTTGTCGTGGTTGGTACTGGCGATGTGGATTGTGTTTGAGGAATGGAAATAGGGTTCACTGAATGTGTTGCAGGACGATTTAAAGATGAATCTCGAGACGATGATGGAGATGGAGATGGAGATGGAGATGGAGAAGAGGTATTTGATCTACCACGGGTACCACTCCCTCCACGACCGCGAATGTTTGACATCTGAAACAACAGAAAAAATAGTACCGTAAGAATGTAACCATTAAAACAGAGATTAGTAGCAAGCGTAGTAATTTTCAGCTCTTGCCACCATATTTATTGTTCGCACTGCAAAAGTCCATCCATAAATCAAACTCAAAAAAGTAATTTGGTATAACAATACTGAAAGCGATAAATATCCTAACAGAGAATAAAATGTTTTACCAATTCATACAGTCTTGCATCACCCCATTAGATTATGAAAATAAACAAACTATTTACTATTTACTATAAGTATACTAGCATTTCATCATATTTTTGTTTTTAAATACATCTAATTTCGAATGACATCAGTTGAGTTATTGATAAGAAGCAACTACTAAATGATATATAATAATTTCATCATCTTTTTAATTGAGCTATCGTAACCCGAGGCTGCTCCTATTATCGTTTGACAATTCAATAATTTTTCCTTCATTATCATTGCATACTAGCGATTTAGGCCTAACATTCAGTTCTTGTGTACCCCTGACTCTTCCCATTTCTTGTCAAAGATGGCTGTCCAAATTGAAAACGTTTGCTGTGCTTGCTACAATCTCATTCCATTAATTCTTTATGGATATTGGCTTTAGTCTGGGGTCATACAAAACGCTTTTGCGTTTTGCCTGTCTCTCCACAAAAAAAATGTCCGTAAGATATTCTATGGTCGACCGAATCAAAAGGACAGATCCATAGAGGGTACAGGTTAATATAGTTATGAATAAAAATACTGCAATTGGCAAGAGAATACTAAATATGCAGAGTTCACCAGAGTTTAGTGATTATAGGATTAATTTTAATAATAGATTCAACAGAGGGCGCCACTTTACAATGTCAATCGATCAGTCTTTTTATTAAAACAAGTATATATAATGGCACCACAAAAAAATATTTTGCGTACATGAATGTGTGCTGTAATACAAGCAAAAACACTTATAAAAAAAAAGAAGACTTTACATCGTACACATCTGCACATTTTGAATACATATTTCACAATATGAATGTTTACAGTTTTATGTGACATAAACTTGAACAAAAAAATCAGGATTATGCTAAAGGTGAATTAAGTAGTCAAGATTATCTAACTCACGTTGCGAGCGCCGACCGAAGGGATACGTGTGATTTCGTTTCGCATGTTATATCGAAGAATGTTGGGAAAAACACTGATGAGATCACCGATCGATCAGGGTTTCTAATAAGCGAGTATTTCCGTTGAAACACAGTATGTAGTATTCTATGAAGATTGCATGTACACTTCGTTTTTAGCTGGGAAAATGTGCAAAATCCAATAACGCAAATTTTCATGTTGTTGCCGGTTTTCATCTTTTATCCATCGTTTGATAGTGAATCATGTCGTATTTTTACACCTGTTCTCGAATTTCTGTTTATATATTGTTGAATTCCGGATAAAGATCGCTATGAAATATTTCCATCGACGATGTACCAGCATAGTAACTTTTTTCTCCATAAGATGGCGTCAATGTCGTAGTTGGTCCTTCCGGAATAGAAGTCGATGTCGCGTTTTTGTAAAAATTTTCTGCCGCTTGTCGACTTACGGCCGTTAACGAAAAATTCTCATAATCTGCCTTATCGTATTGTGTTAGAGGAACTACTCTTGTTTTCGAGCCAAGAACTTAACTTTTAATTGTTGCACTGCCAAATGCGTAATAAAGGGTTGTCAAAATGAATTAACTGTAGCTGATAGAAGATCAACATCACTTTTTGATGGATTTATTTTTATACGTATATTATATGAGGATAAGACCATTCGAAGAGTGTTTTCTTTCACATGTGATCGAAGACTCTGAATAGACAACAAGTAGAGTATGATGGTTGTTTATTACTCAAGCATTTAACTTCGAATATTTTAGCTGTCAATAGTACCATTATTTCATTTGTAGAAATTGTGCCATTTATTTTCATAATTACTTGTCTTTCCCATCTATTCTTTCCACTTAACTGAAGTGTAGTGGTTCCATTATCAGAGTTCACTCTATTACCGTATTGAGAAAGGTGTAGTTGGAAAGAAGAAGATTTGCTTTACATATTCTTTATTTATCTTACTTATTCTTTATTTATTTTGTTTCACTTGTTTTCTTATTATTTTTATCACCCTACTTATTTTTCCGACACAGTTATCATAGCAACATCCTGTATATTCACACGAGGAGTAATAGAAAGATTCATCCAAGTATAATACTCGAATTCAGTATGCTTTTTCACCTGTAATATTAAGGAGAGGCGGACTCCCACAAAAGGTATTCTTAAACTTTTTCAAATTGTAGAGAATACTTGACTGCAACACCGCCGGATAAGTAGCTATGTCTGCTACCCTTTGTTTTCATATTCTGAATGCATGTTTAGATACAAATTGACTCTGACGAACACGAGCATGACGTCAGAAATGTTCAGAATCTCTTAGAAAAAAATATGAGGCATTTATGAGTGAGATCATCAACCATCCAATCTCTTCAGGAAAACCATTGTTTCTCAATAACTAAACGATCGGTGGGACGAGAATTGGTTTTAATAAACTCAGAAAACATTTCTACATAAACTGAAAGCAGGTGGTGTGTACAATACATCAGCTTTTGACAGAAAAAATTCGTCCCTTTTATCAGTGTGCCCGTTATAGGCGGGCGACAATTAACATTAAGTGACGCTTTTCTCCAAAATGAGAGAAAACACATTTTCCAAAAAGGCGAACTTTATCGAAAAAAGATTTTGTAGAGGTCTAATTTTGATGAAAAATATTTATCGACAAAACCTATTTCATTCCACTCAGTTATTGAGGCTGATTTCGAATATCTGATTAATTTGCATGAAAATTGATTTTTGATGGTGTAAATGATAAAATATGAAAAAATTAAATTTCATGTTTTTTGACATGGATTTCAGAAAAAATCCTTTTTCGCAGCAGTAGAGGAATATAAAGAAAAAATCTCAACGTACTTTTGGTCCCTTTTGGATACTATAATAGTTAGAATCAAATGAAAATTTTTTAACCTCATAACCCCAAGAATGAGATAGGTTTAGAAGACAGACGTCGAAATGTACCACCATTCTGCACGTGTTCAACGGATCCTGAGATCAGCTCTGATTATACTATATACTATTCTGATGCAGTTTTTTCGGCTACTTCTTCATTGAGACCACTACTTTTTGTACCCATTCTCACTTTGCTTCCAGCCCTCTGTTGTTTGTTTGATGTCAGTTAAGACCTCTAAAATGAGACCACATTTTACCAAAAAAGCGATCTCAATTTAGAAGACTCGGGTTTCGCTTATCATGAATCCGACGTCAGATTTCAAAAAGTATGAAAAATGAGTGAAATATGAGCGTAATCGGCTACCTATGTCTACGTGATTGAAAAAATGTCGATAAAAAAATGTGGTCTTGGGACCGACTTTTTTTTACAGTGATCTCATCAATCGATAGTCCATATTCAGGAGATAATTTTGGCAAATTTTGGAAAATGTACTTTCTCTCGTTTTGGAGAAGAAATCGTCATTTAATGTAAATGGTCGCCCGCCCATAACGAGCACACTGATAAAAGGGACGAATTTTTTCTGTCAAAAGCTGATGTATTGTACACACCACCTGCTTTCAGTTTATGTAGAAATGTTTTCTGAGTTTATTAAAACCAATTCTCGTCCCACCGATCGTTTAGTTATTGAGAAACAATGGTTTTCCTGAAGAGATTGGATGGTTGATGATCTCACTCATAAATGCCTCATATTTTTTTCTAAGAGATTCTGAACATTTCTGACGTCATGCTCGTGTTCGTCAGAGTCAATTTGTATCTAAACATGCATTCAGAATATGAAAACATAGGGTAGCAAGCATAGTTTATCCGGCGGTGTCCTTTCTTTAAACTTTTAAAAGTTAAAAAGAAATGGGGAGAACATGTCTGGAAGGTTCGAAAGTCTTGCCCTATATGTAAGTTGTCATGGATAACAAAGTGATGGAAAAGATCAGGAAGGTTAGCTTCCTTTCACTATTTTTATCGAGTTCGCGCCTGTGTGTGACGGCAAACGATCACTCAATCTAAAATCGATCAAGATTCGTGTCTGACTAGCGTTTCACTGAAGATCTCGTTGATCTTACTTATCGTGTCTGATAAAAGAGAGGTAAAGGGAATACGTTAAGGTAGCATTGAACAACGAACGGGAAATAGTACTTTGAGAACAGAATGAGTTCTTTTTCTCTTTGCCCGTAGCGTTCTCTCTGGTAAAGCTTTGTTACAAAACTTTACCATACAAAGCCTTTGTATCTTATCGCATGATAAATATATGATTCTATATTGACTCGGACTGGATAGCTTTCATTAAAATTTCCCTCATTACGCGCCAGTATCCATGTGATTTATGTTGATACTGGCATTTAATAAAGGTGAACTGTATATAAGAAGGATTTGTGAAGTGTCCGTTCAGATAAGAAAATTTCAAAAGCTTTCGTTTTGACAAGAGCAGTGCAAGATTTTAGAAAACATGTTGTGGTGTATTGTTAGTTCCAATGCACAAGATATGTGTAAGAACGTGTTTCTCTAAGGCTTCAGAGACTATTTGTTATTTGTCTTTTTCAAAGAAGTATACAAAAATCGACGAAGAAGTGAATTCAAAAGCAGTATGGCTTGTCTTTCTTTCATCAAGTGTTTTTAAGAAACCTATCATCAGCGGGTTGTTTCATATCGATCTTTTCTGTTTTCGTTTTTCTTAAACTTAACAGTAGTACAATGTTCGTTATAAAGAGTAATAACAAACTATTGTAGAATCATATATTTATCATGCGATAATGTACGATGCTTTCGTGTGGATGTTTTCTTTTTGAGGGCTTCTTGAATGCACTGCAAGGGGGTTCACCAAAAGCACACATATACACCGCATAAATCACAACAAGCTGCCCTATAGCTATTTTATATACTTCATCATCATGTCTCGTTATGTCATAATCAAGAGCTACCGCGTGCGTAAACTAACTTTTATTGACTAATACTAAAAAAATTATTATTATATGTTCCACATTTTTCTTTGAAGAATAAAAAACAATCGCAATTATAAAACAAGAATTAACGCCTTTTGCCTTCAACTAGTTTTTTCAAATAAAAAATGGTACTGGCAATTAAGACTCAGTTTTTTGCTTGCTCTAAAACAATATCAAATCTTTTCCATATATGTACGTTTCTTTCAATGCAGTAGCTAGTATTATAGTTGTGAAATCTTAGTGTCAATTAGACCATTGGACAGGTGTAGAACTCAGTTTAGCTTTTATTGTTTTCATTTTTCAGTTTGCATAAACTTGGTTGACACCTACTACAGGTTTTCATGTATTATTCTGAAAGAAGGTTTGTATGACTCCATATATACATATGTTGAATTTAGTGTTTGTTTAATGCTATATATATCCGTTTCGGTTATGATTTTCATTGGGTTTAGTCTTAATTTCAGTCACGTTTCTTATTTGTTAAAGAAATTTAGACTTTTCTTTCGTTTTCTCTCCTTCTTTTCTGCTATGTTTGTAAGAATTCATTGTCAATATTTATTAATTGATCTCATTCATTCTTTCATTTTATGTATATACGGCACGCACATACATATATAGTAAGATGTCCAAAAGTTGTTGATGATGGTAGTAATGGTAACTAACAATAACAAAAAGAAGAAAGATGTTTCATATGACTTCGACAGAATGAAAGATCTGCCATTCTTTGAAATTATATAGTGACATATCACAGGTAGATAGACAAAATGTAGTGATAGATACGTTATTAATTCATGTAAAACATGCAACGCGATTAAACATATTTATTTCTCTCGTTTTCTACATACATTCTTTTTGCGTTGCAAAAATGAAAAACATTCATAGATAATTAGTGTTCCGTTTTGTGCAAGTTAAGTTGTTTAATATTTTAAAACAACATCGGTTGAACGATTTTTTTTTGAAGAAAAAAAAGAACTGTATATAATCAGGAAGTAATGTTTTACTGAAAAACGGAAACAAAAAAAAGTTTTAGAAACACAATCTATTTCTTCTCGTTTTCATTCAAGTTGACATTTCCGGTATGCTGAGTTGCTAGAATTCTGTCATTGAAATGTGCTATAAAAAAAGAAAAAAAAAATAGCAGTAAAGAAGCACGATTTGAATAAATACTGCTCATCGTAAATTATTCAAATTAGGTTCTTCCACTAAGATCGTTTTCTAACAGTACACTCGGCGAGTTTGACTAATTGAACCGTTATTTATCGTACGGCGGCGTTAACCTGAATAACTGTTGTCATTGCTTTTTTGGGGATTATTGCTGTCCTTTTTTATGTTTCAAATTTTATATACGAAAAAAAGAGAAAAAGTTCAGTTTTAAAATATACAAGAAATGAGAGGATAAATCTATGTGTGCGTATGTGTATTTATGTACAAAGAAGAACAACAAATAATAATTTTGACTGTTACATTAAAAACAAAAAACAGAGATACAAAGACAGATAACGATGAAAATCTTTTAAGAGTGTATAGTTTGTTATTGTTGCGTTAAAAATGAAAAAAACTTTAAGGCACAAAAAAAATAGAGAATATCGTTGGTCGATTCTTTATTCGTCTAATAACAAAACACATCATTATCAATTAAAAAATAATTTTCACTGTGAGACTGAACTCAATGTTGCCAATGAAAAGAGAAAAATTGCACAGATTCTAAAGGTATTTACTTTTTCTCATCCCCATGAAGAATCGTGCAATGTAGAAAATTGTCCGTTAGGTTGTCCACCATTGAATTGTTGTGGAAGTTCGTCAGAATCGGGAACTGGTGGAGGACCATTAGGTACGTTCTCACTGCCAAACGGTATTTCTGAATAACGGAAAACAGTTTTTACTTGAAAACCAACCTAGTAGACGCATTTGTTACGTACCATTTGATCCGTTGGCCATATGTTCCAATGGAGCACCATAACCTAATCGTTGATGCATCACAAATTCATTGAATGATGGCTGTTGGTAAGGAAACTCGCATTGAAATTGGTCTGAATAAAGAAAGACATGAGAAAAAATAAACACAATCGTTAGTAATAGAGTTCCTCAAGAGAGATAGAGGAGAGAGAAAAGAATCAAACGAATAAGTTTCTTAACACGTGTACACATCCTTCATCTTATTAGGCGGTATTTTCTTTTATTTCAAAAGAACAAAAGGGATTTTTGACTATGATTTATATTACCTGCTATATAACTTAATCCATGATGACCTAAAATTTCACTTTCATCAAATGGTCGTCGATCGCCTGGGATTCGGCGTAAATAATTTCTTCTACCGCCATTACTATACGTTGATTGTTTAATTCGTCTTTCTTTTGAGCGACGATTTTGAAACCACACCTGTATGCAATAGAATTTTAGTTGCAGTATTTTCCTTGAATTTTTCTGTTGAACATGAAAGTACTAACCTGAATAACACGCATAGCTAATCCTGTTTCTCTTGCTAATTCTTCTCGAATATGTCTTGTTGGTTTTGGTGTAGTGGCAAACGCAGACTTTAGCATTTCTAATTGTTTAGTTTTGATCGTTGTTCTGGGTCCGCGTTTTTTTGGTCCACCATTACTATTGTTTCCATTCGATGAGCCACCACTACCATCTTGATCTATCACTCCATTTTTTTTATGACTATGTGATGACGAACATCCACTTGATGATCCGTTTAAACCACAATCATTTCCATTTCCAATTTCCGAATCACTATCCAAATCATCCATATCTATATTTTCATCTTTCAAATCGGATGAACTCAAATTACTGTCCGTATTAGTTAATGTGGATGGTTGTGATAAACAATGATGATGGCCATTTATCTCATTTAAATTATTTTCTTTATCATAGTCATGAGAAGATGTATTTGGAGTGGTAGTGGTAGATAAATCATTGTCTCTTTCACATTTCAACTCGTTTGATAAACGATGATAAGTAGTACGTGGTAAATGTCGATTATCAGAAATATTTTCCATTGAAGATTTTTCATCGTCATCAAAATCACCTTAAATATTTACAAACAAAATATGTACTTTCTCTATTATCGAATAACAAAGCAAAGAATATCTGTTTTACTTTTGCATATTCCAACGGGAAAATCTTTTGTTGTGTTTCGTATAAAGTCATCTTTACATAGAAAACGATTGTCTTGTGTCATATACAATTCTTCACCAGTTGACATTTGTTTTGAACATGAACAACATTTAAAACAATCCATATGATAAACATTATCTCGTGCTTTTCGTACAAAAGCTTCGGGTGCAATTCCTTGTTGACACCCTGAACATTTTGGACCATACCTCCTAAAAATAGAATTGATGTAAAAGTATTTCAGCTTGATTTTAAAGATTTATTTTCAAAGGTGAAATTTCGGATGCTGTTCTTTGTATAAATATATAAGAAATTGTTTTATTTTACCTTGAGCATTGTAGACAATCGTCATACTTCTCACTCTGATAGTATCACTCATGTATACATATGTAGTATATGATTTGAAAGATCGATAATGATTTAATACAAACAAACAGTATGCATTGAGTGAGTCGATGTGTTTAATTGGATCAACTGACCACGAAACATATTGAAAAAACATTTTTAAAATTGAACTTTAAGTGTATATCGATGATTGTAATGATTATTATTATTATTATTCTACTACTATGAAGGACCATACCCCCGTTCTGCTTTAGTGAACATGTAGATATATATCAGAGAAAAGAAATTTGTTTGCCTTCAAAACATAAAATGTATATATGTATATCTATGTTTTAAAGGCATATATTTGATAAAATTTTATTTTTTCATGGTTTTATATCACATTTTTACCTTTTCATCTTTCTATTGTTAATCAATCAGTCATTGATTTGTTCAATGAAAAAATAATTAGCAAACTGAACATTTATCAGAATAGAGAGTTCACCTAATGAATTTAGATTTGAAAATACAAAAATTCTTTCAATGTACATAATTTTACTTTGAAATATATTCTGAGTATTTATAATAAAAAAAAGTAATCGTGCCATGGATAGAAAAGGAATGCAAACTCTTATACAATTAATAGCACAAGTAATGAAGAACTTTCTTTGAAAGTCAAAAATTGTTCTACTACAGAATAAAGTCTAGTTTTGTATAGATATTAAACGTGACACTCAGTATGAAAGGTACTGTTTAAGTACTGTTTTGAGTCATTACAAATATTTAGGCAGATGGCTATTATGTGGTTCTAATAACCAACCGGACATAGTACTTCAAACAGAAGGATATTGACAAAATATAGATGAGAAAAAGAAGAAAAAAAGAGAAGAAAACACGACAGGAGTCACAATTTATAACAAGTATTTCACATAGTGCTCCGCCTCCCTACTACGTTCAACAATCGAATTAGACTAGATGGTTACTTTCTTTTAATGACAGTTAAGTATACAGTTTCCTTTTTTCTATGAGAATCATCCGATTGTCTGATATTAAATGACAATCTCCTTGTCATATCATAATTGTCTTCATACGTCAATGACACATTATGTAAGCACATCTTGTCTAAATTATCATATTATATTTATTTCCGATATAATAGAAAATAGTATTTCTTCCCTGATTCAAAAACAATTTGCTAACATCGTAAATAGTAGCATTGTATTTGGATATTAAAATTTTTGTTATTCTTTAACATACCTGAAAAAATCTGATCGACAAAATAATTTTCCATCTCTTGAAAAACATTTTTCTGTCAAATGTGTACAGCAATCCATACATTTAATACAATGTGAATGCCAAACACGATCTAATACTTGAAATAAAAATTTATCTAATATCGGCTCCCCACAGCCGGCACAGTTTGTTAATGTCATCTAGAATACAAAAGAAAAACAACATGGTTTTTTTTGAAGATTAAAAATAAAAGAATTTTAACTCGTTTTGTCTCTTGTTTCTGCAGACAAGAAAAATATAGTTTCAATAAAGTTATGCATTGTTATTTGATGTTTATTCACAAGGAGCAGTCAACTTTGACAATAATTGCAAGAGGAAAAATTATCAAATCATTGAAAACTTTCCATTCTAGAAGAAAGTATGCAAATAATCGCTAAATCTTCGACAAAAACCTTTATCAGTTTCAATTACAATGCTTCTATTTTGAAAGTATTAACTCTGATACAATATTGAAAGTTGTTAGCCAAGGAAAATATGTAACAATGTGTGCTTTCACTTATTCATGTTTTCGACATGACATTTTACTTCATTTTTATGCGTATATCTGTTTGTTTGATGATGTAAAAGTTGCTAAATCAGTTAATTTAATTCAGACCAATTCCCGTTGCCATAGAGATCACTTCTTTGTTGTCATAGAATAATTCATTTCCATTTTATCTTTCTATATGATAGTCATTATCATACATGCTTGTTTTCTCCTTAGTCGAAGATGCATAAAATAAAAATTTATTATTATTTTTTTTCCAAAATCGTCATGATCATTAATAAATCAAAGTGTGTGTTGTAAATATTGTTCTCCTCCTATCGTTGATATGTGAAACGTGCAATGAATTATTTTTTTATCAAACAATTATTTTTAACTGTTTCATCAATGCCGCATACTGGAATTTTTTTTTTTGTGTACATGATAGATACCACTACTAACAACAATGTCTTTTTTCTAGCTTTTATATTCTTCAAAAAAAAATTTTTCATTAAGTTAAATTAAGCACATTTAACTTAGAAAGCTAATCTTGCTTATATACTTTTAAGCCTGAAGTCATTTAAGAAAATGCGTTTAAAGTCAGTAAAGCACGCCTTGAACAAACTTAATCCTCCACGTCTAAGCTTTATGCAAAGAAAGAATTATACTGTAGAGATGAAAATAAAGAAAGAGGATTAGCAGGAAAAGAAGCAAGTGATGATGATGAAAATTGATTTTTTTTTTGTTTTTTTCCTATACTCTTACTACAAACACAAGAGAAGCGACAAATATGAATAAACAGTTTAATTTGATATCAAAAACAAAATTTATGTCAAATTTTCAATCAATATTAAATTGGTAGTGAAAAATAAGTGAATACATCAAATTTTTCTCGATAATTAGATTAGAAAATAAAGTAAGCCTCACTTTAACACTGATGACGAGAAAGTTGAAAAGTTGATGAATATCATTCCTTTGAAATCATGTGTAAAAATGATTAGGCTTTCCTAATTGTTAATAGACTAATTCATTACGAATACAAATATGCGTTCATGTATATGTCAAATATTATTAGATACCAATGGCTAATAACAATCTATACACGAAAAAAAAAATCAGATCGTATGTCAATTTTCTTTTTTTTCATGATCAGCGCGCACGATTGATCAATTATTCTTCGTGTGTATATTGAAAATACATTAGCATATTAATAAGAAGAAATAGGGTAAAAATGTAGAGAAGACAACACGTGTCTCGATACATACAATAACAACAAGAATTTTTAGCGAAGCATCGTCTAGATACACAATATATGCAAAATAATATCTTGATATTTAAGCTTACTTCAAACATGCACACACTCACTCACTCACTCATTCATTCATTCACTATCTCTCTGTAGAGGAAGAAAGAAGCAAACTTTATTTTTATGTATTAACACATCAAAACAAGAAATGGTATATTCATCCTATTGATGTTGAGGATAAACACAATAACGTCTGTTCATGTCTTTTAAATGCCAGTACAAAATAACATCGTAAGTGAAGTTCTCTAAAATCGAATATTATACTAAAAAATTATAATGTTACTTCAATATCCGGCTGTCTCTAACAATAACCAATGTGCATCTTTGTACGTTATCCTTTATCACAAGAGTAAATCAAACAGGTAAGGTGTGAAAATATAAATAGGTGAACAAATTGCTTTTTAGCTAAAGATTTTTAAGATATTTACATTTCTTTACTTGATCGGAAGAATGTAATCATTTTTCCTTTACCATTTCTAATTTTCCTTCTTATCTAACATAAAATATCCGGTTTGAAGGTAGACAGCTTAAATTACTTTTGTATAAGAACAGTAACGAAGCGTAGTCTGTGAGCTGCTCAAATCTGAGCTACTGTTTCGCTCCAATGATTAATAGTTTATGTACATCACTATTGCTATTGTTTAGTGCCTACTCATTTTTTCTTCTTCTTTCCCTTTCTCTTTGTTCGACTTGTAATGGTCGAGAGATAACATTTTTTTACATGTTACGTTAAAAAAAAAGAAAGCTTTATTTTATGCATTTTACGTACAATAATGATGCATAAAAAAAAAAATCATGCATAGTTGATTTGACAACTTTGATTGTATTGTTAAGTTTCAATGAGTGTCGATATAGAGGTGTGAATAAAACGCTATAAAAATATTTTGTTTATTTCTCAGATATTAACTTATTATTCGTTGTTAACAAGAAAGCTGCTGCTATAGCACTATTGTCAGCACTCCTCTTGTTTTGCCAAAATCTCTCTTTCTCACACACAAACTCACACGAATCAAGGTGTGATAAATCCACTAAAATATTTTTAGTATAGATTTGTAAGTTTATTATTACATGCACACGAATAAAACTTCTCACTATTTATGATTGGTTCCTCTAACAAGCAGTTGATAAATTGATTTTTATCATGCAGTGTGATTGTAAGCCAATTATGATGACAGTAAACCACATCAGTCTTGAACTACTTAAAACACAATTATTGACTTATTCAAAAAACAATCAATTGACAAGTAGAACTATTGTATTGTTAGTGAATAGAAAAGAAAAAGAGAGGATACCTACACTCATCTACATACATATTCACAAAAATAAACATTTAAAGATCACAGACATTAACTACTTAGAACATTTCGAGATCGTGATTGACTGATCACATATTTGTTTCCAATAGACCAAGTTTAATTTTTCTCAAATAAAGCTATCGAAAAATCAATTATGTATAGAAAGAAATATTTTGAAATCAGAAGTACAACAAATGATTCGGTCAACTAACCAACACTACTATAACAGTGAATTCGGTCGATATTTATTTGATATGTTACTCTTTCAATAAAATTCTTATCACATGAGTCAGTCTCTTTCACATGCGAATTGATTTGGGTAAAGTTTTCAAAAAAAAGAGTTTCTCTGTTGTTCAAAGTTCAACTAAAAGTATTTAGATCAATGACTAATTGAAATCTGTGTGTTAACCGTAAGAATAGATTGTGTCTGTAAGAGAAAGTATGCGTAATCTACATCAATACGCCTGCTTTAGTTAACTTCAAGTGTAACTATATGACATATGTTTTTTAACCTAAAAACGCTACATTCAGATTCATGAGAAATGGGTCGTCAATTGGTATCATAAATTTGAAGATTTCATTACATGTCTGCATTATTGCAATTCGTAGTGTTGTGATGAGAAAACAACAGAAGGCATGCAAATTTTTGGAAGACAACCATAGAAGTAATAACGATAACAGAGTAGATAACGATAATATTAATATTAATTTAACATTTTCTCTTTGAAGAAATAGTGGAGGAAAAGTTTTGCTGTTAAATAATTTGGGAGAAAGCACATTTAAATAATGATTCGATTCGCTGCCTAATATAGGCGAGAGGTTAGACAAAATGTTTGGGAGAAAAGAAATTAAAGGGAAAATACTTTTGTTATGCAGGACGCGTACACAGCCTCACATTTCTTCAGTCGCCACAACACTGGTTAATCGTCTCAAAATTGAGTTTTGAATAAATTCTTCATTAGGTCTCTACCTATAAATATGGTCCTATAGAAATACTTCTGACTAAAACAAAACATCTTCCTTTATTACAAAGTATTAAATTAAGAAAAAGAAGTTGTAGCAGATAAGAAACTTAAACGTGATATTCTATACCTGAATATTCTCGTGGATACGTACGTGTATTCTTATTAGTGGTTTAAATTCAAGTATAGTACATATTATTGTATACTTTTTCATGTAGTAGACATATTTAGTTTGACAGTCGAAACAAAGGAGAATAAAAAGTGTGTAGATAACAATATAGTTGATAACATACACTGATACATAGGTATAGGTATAACCATAATGATTGGTGATTAAACGTGTATGTATTTTGTACTTACCCCTTCGAAAGTTGATTAAGAAAAATAAAAGAAGTTTTCTATTTTAAAATAAAACAACCGGTATCTAATAAAAAGTATTTAAAAATTGATTAATGCCAATAAAACATATCACCGTAATCATAATCATCATCTATCAGCACGGCACATAAAGAATTTAAAACTAAACAAACAATAATATTGTTTCTAGACGAATAGAAAAAAAAAATATGTACGTTTTCTTTTCTTCTTTATATCGTAACTTCTTTTTTAACCATAAATATTTCTTCTCTCCTCTCTTTTTTTCTCTGTCTCTCTACAGTATTTGTATCTATTACTGCTTTGTTTGATAAGTCAGCATTACAATCATATAATTATTTAGAACAACAACAAACAACAATAACAGAACGTAGCCTTTATACCAACAAGAAAGAGAGTGAAAGAAAAAAATCTTTCGTTCCTTTCAATGTCGTTGGATTCTTCCTTTTTTTTATTTGTACGAGAAATATTGCCTGTGCGTCAGTCAATTTTATTATCGACGAACCGAAAAAAGGAAAAGAAAAAGAAAGCAACCAACCAGTTAACAGTTGAATATCAAATGTACGTAGATTCCAGTTGAGAAATCAAGATAAGAGAGATGACACTCTACGAACGTAGTTTATAATAAAAAAAATTCTTTTTGTGTGTCTCTCAATGGAGTCGTTCTTTTTTTTTGCCTTTTCTTTCCCGGTGTTTTTTTGTCTTATTCATAAAGACAATGAGGAAAAAAGAAAAAAAAAAACAGATTTTCAAGAGAATTTTCTCCTGTTAAATAGTGTTCTGAAAATGAAATCAAAAGAAAAAATCTTTTGTGTTATAGTGTTTCACAATACCATAGGTAAAAACTCCTATGAAAGTTTTAAAAGTATTACTCTCACATTTACCGTATAGGTAACATGTTTAACAGGTAAACTCTTCAACATTCGATGGTGCTGTCAAATCGTGAATTCCGAATAAACGATATCAAAAATTGCTGTTGATGATAAAGTTTACGCCATTATTTTAGACTCTGAGAACGAAAATTTGCACGATCGGTTAGCTATTATTATATATTATTTTCTACGATTAATAAATCGAGATCATTTCCGAGTTGGAGTACGAAAGTTAACTGAACTTTTTTTAATTGTTTCAACATTATGTCATTTTTTTTGTTTTAGAACAGTATAAGGAGTTTCGGAAACTGGTATGAATAATATCAGCTGCTATCCTAGTTAAACGCTCAGTCTTTGATTAATACAGTTTAGGTAACGACTGCTTGTTCTTTTTGTTACATTATCACAGAAATAAAACACTTTTTTATGAACATGATGATTAGAAAAATGTCTTCAGCATTTGTATGAATAAAGTGTTTCCTGCGTAAATTGGAGAATTTAGTAGTTGATTGCTAAAATCTTTTGTAATCGAAGTTTCTTTTTATGTAGGTAGAAATTTCCAAAAAATCGATAGATTGAGATACAAGTCTAAAAAGTGAAATGAATGCGATATCAAGAATGTTTATCTCAATAATGTCCAACAATCGAGCTCAATATCATCACTTTTTCGATCACGTCAAATTAGAAAAAGCCACGATGTATCTTTCCTATCGTAATACAATAGAATATCCATTTATCACAATATCTTCTTGTATAGATGGGTCATCATCTATGATTCCGTCATGACAAAGGTTAATCGTAACGTAATACGCCTATAAGCTGAAAAATCTAAATATTCTTATAAAGCAAGACTTTCTCAGAAACCTTGTCACTTTATTAGGAAAAAAAGGTATGCTAATACTATCGATAGAATGCATTTGTAGAGCACGTTAGGAAAGTCTTTGTTAATTTGAAGACTGGTAAAAATTGAAACATTCACTACACTTGTTCATATTAAGACTTTATTAGCTAACACTTTACTTTTGATTTTTACGTTATTTCATTTAATACCAAAAATATTTTTATCAATTAGCTATCTTAAATTCAAAAATGTAAATCGTTAAATGAAAATCTATACATTTATACAACAATCAAAACCGATAATGTGCATCACTCCACATTTTAGTTTTAAACATTTTCCCTAAATTCAGTGAAGAATGATCTCACTTTTATGTTGTCATCAAACCTCTCTTCATACATCATCCATCCTAATGTCGTACTTTCATTAGAAGTCCCCAGATTTTATATAAAGTATCTAGTTACTGCGAACAATCAAAAGAAACAAATCGTTTCTTGAAGAGATAAAATTTGTAAAGACCCGCTTTAATGATTTTCAAAGTTTCTCTAACAACCTGGAAACCAACCAGTCTATAACAACTATCACCAAGGCACATTATTTGTGGCCTAAACATAAGCGACTTTAGGAAAAATAGTAATTTAACTGCTAGACAGTTTTCATATCGATAGTTGTTCTGTCCTTCATAATATACTGTCGCGATGGAAC